CAGGTCGACCAGAGGCGCTGTAAACATTGCGATCGATTGTTATGTCGTTTCCTTCTTTTTGCAATTGGTGAAATATGATATTTGTCGGTTGGTGATTTGTCCAGAAGGGGGTATATGGTTTTTGGATTGGTTCTCCGTTCTAGTCTTCGAGAGATTTTGGTCGGTTATTGGTTTTCGGACACAAGTGTTCGAAGACTTTCTGTGGAAAGCCGGAATATCGATTACAAATTAAACGCGTGTGTAGGTTGTCGATTTGTTTGGATTTGATTTATTTTGTAGCGTTGTATTTATTGGAATTAATTCTCTTGCGAAAGGATCTTTACATATAACGAGTGTTATTTATTGATATTATTAGTCCGTCGCGTGGTCACATTCTCTCGCCAACTCGGAATATACACCATGTATTTGAATTTACTGATGAAGTTACCCGATGTATATTTTGAACCGTTTAGCTACGGATGTACATTCGTGAAACGCAACAAACAATACGTAAACAAGAGATACCAATGAAAATAATAAGTAGGAAATGGTAATAGTAAATAATAAATTGTTTCCTCATCACTATCAACACTATTTGAGTCATTGTCTGCTTCACTACAATCACTTTCACCCCTCATATCACTATACGAGAATGTTTCTTCTTCATCGTCTATTGACGCCCCAGTTTCCCGCCTTTCGTCGAGGAAAATGGTGCAGATTTTTTCCATAATTATTCTGAACATAAATGAAACAGTGTGGAAATCCTTAATAAACATAAATACTGGTTGCCGTCAAGAGATAATGGATTTACTTATTGATACACTTAACAACAAATAATTCAATATTAATGCAGCCATTTGTCCCATTGTTATATTACGTATCGTGTTACTGCGATAGATTATATACAGGCTACGACTGAAAGGATGGAACAAACGAGCAGGAGATAATTCTTTATGCAAAATTAAATTAACAGTGTGGAATAAACGTTTGTTCATCACAGGCTTAAGTTTTCAAGGCGTAATCCTATTTTGAAGACTCACTTAAAACACGTGTTTTAAGTGAGTGTCCGTTTTAAACGTGTATCCGTGCTGGCAATAAGTAGAAACAGAATACAATGAACAGACTTTCAAATTCCGATTTGAAATTCACTTCACGACTTAATTGCCTGTAACTGAGACATAATCTACCATTGTAATGCTTTAATTTAATGGCTTGGAAAATAAAAATCTATACGAGAAACCATGAAAATATTGATCGATTCACGATAATTCAATCATAACACACGGTAACCATAATGATCGGTCGCGATTTTAAATTCGTTTTCGTAATTCTTATTAATTACAATCTTAATACTTTAATTTAAGTGCTTATCAAATTTAAACTTTGACGGGACACCGTGGGAAATTAATTTCTTTTTCAGTACCCCGCTTTTGAAGAACAATGACGATTGTTGCGCGAAAATAAAGAACGTACAAAACTGAAATGAATTTATTGTATCATCTGTAATTGCTTTTAAGAATAAAATTCGCCTGAAACTGTACACTGTCCGAATATTTCAATAAATAACAAATGAAGTGCAAAAAAGCGAATACTGACGCCATCTACCAATGAAACAAGCAACAGAGAAATGAAAAGACTGCAACCACCTAGCGGTGAAATAATGGAACTAACCAGTCCTTAACAATAGCATACATACACAGTTTCCTTTCTGCAATATAATTACTTCCCTGGTATCAAACATTAACAAGAAAGAATTGAATCCTATAACAGTAAATATTATCATACCATGTATTAGTAAAACGTCGAGAAAAAAGAATACGATAGAGTACGTCTCTATTCTAAAAAGTGTTCTCTTTCTTTAGCTTGTAATTCTTCAGCTGTAGTGGAGCTTATTTTTTTGTTGCGTTTCCAAAATCTTTTCTTTCTCATCTTTTGAAAGTAATCAATCGAAGTAACAAATTGTTACGAACAAAAAAAAGCAACAAAACGCATTCCCAGATAGCACATGACGTCCAATAATGCCTTGAAGACGGCTTAAAGGCGCCTTAGACCTAAAATAGCCGTAAAATGGACGTCTTCAAGGCATCATATGCTATCTGGATTATTATCTCTTTGTAAATTTCTAGCAGCTTCAATTGAATAATGTAACTAATGAAATATAAATATACTTACAATTTCTGTTGATAGAGTTTCGCCCAAAAACATCCTCCCTTTAATGATGCACTGAATCTAATAACGCGAACGGACATTTTTAAATATAAAAAGAGAAAAGAAAAGTAAAAGACTATTAATCGCTACCGATAATTCCAGTCAGCCAACAAAAAACTCTACTTTCGCAATTCAAAAAGCAAAGAATGTGTCTGACACTTTGAAAGTAATTGATAATGAGCAATAAACACTGACTCTACTTTCGCGAGGACCTAACATTTCCAGTAACATTCTACTCAGAGCCAGTTCGCTCCGGAAAAACACAAAAATTTCTACGATTTAAACACTGACTCTACTCGACCGCATTGCGCGCGGCCACCAAATTCACCGAAAAAAAAGTAGGGACACGACATTATCTTCATTGTTCAATGATGCAGGGTATGAAAAATCTGAAAAAAAGAAACAATATTCGTTATTCTTCTCAAAATTCAAGTTGTTCAATTCAAACATGTAAATAATAATATATAAAGTTATTCACAATCTTTGGTGACAAAGATTTACACAAAGACATTTGCTTCATTGTACAATTATACAACGTGTCAAAAGTGAAAAAAAGAAACAAGATTCATGTACAATAACTCTGAAGTCATATAGATTAATTCCTCAGTTTATGAATAGATTATTCATATCTGTATATTTACTACTAATATATTATATTAATGACATTCGTTGTTAGAACTGTAAGCGTTTTCGTTTTTCTGTCTAAACCATATTCTGATTTTTATAAATATTCAGAAAATTAATGGAGGTACCAACTTGCGATTTATAAAAACAAAATAAATGATAAATAACACAGCTTCTGCGTAAATAGAATTATCTTTATAATGACAGACACGTAAAATTATTCAAATGAAAACAATTTCACGATCGGACTACTGTAAATTGCAAATGCCAATTTGAATGTATGGAAGTATTGTCGTTTAAATTTTCTAACGGTAAAGGAAGCCATGTATGTTGCAACTACGCATTTAAATTCAAAATATTTCTCGAAGAATTTTCGGTCGATCTTAGCACAATAAATCAAGAAATGTCGATCGTGCTTACGGTCAAAAACAATATATAAAAACGCGATAAAATGAAAATATATAGTGAAATGTTCGATATTTACTATAATGTATTACCAGAATTCACCGATTTCCCGCCGAATTGCGTCCGACGAAAGGAAATTCAACAGTCATGGCGTCGATAGCGCATTCTTTCCAACCGTAACACTGAAACTGAAAATAAAGGTTAATTCTAAGTTATTACACTACATTAGCACACATGAGGCACAAATAAACAATTATTGACTCGAGAAGTGTCGCCAAAGGTTGTAATTTAAACAAAACCTATGTAAATCCAACATAATTGATAGAAGATGAACAACGGAAACTGCGGAGACCGGTTTACCCTCTCCCGCGATATCGAATTAACTTAAGATAGTTTAGTGGAAAGTGGATATATATTAAAGGAATGTAGCCATGAAGAGCTCATGAAAGTGTTAGAACAAACAATTAGTGTAAATGAATATACGTAAATGGTAAATATCACGTACCTTAACACGAGCAAACTCCTTGTAAGTCTTATCACTGCAACTTCCTCGAGACGAATGACCCTTATGCTACTTTTGACTGGTCACGACCGTTGATTCGGCTATCTTAGGGCGATCGTAATTGGTTGACGGATAGGTAAGGAACATTTTGTACATGTTTACCCGAGATTAGCTCTGCAGGTAATAACTCTCATAAAACGGAAAACAAAGGCACAAGGACGATTTCACAGAAATTTAATTACACGGATGTCCCTTGTTTGCAAACAATTCTAACCCGTATGTTTTGTCTCTCTAGTTAACCAATTTTTGAAAACTCGTAGAACAATTTGCTCTACAATTGAGAAAGGAATTTAACTATATACATACCCTGTACCATCCTCGGAAATTTGTAATTCCAATTCGTTTTAGATGAAAAACATTAATATACGATGTCTTCTGATATTTTTGCTCCCCATTCCTCGAAGTTTTAAATCCTCCAATGCTTTCCTGAGCGCCATCTGCGGAGAACATTTCCCGCCAATTGAACAGTGGTGCCAATGTTTATAAAATATCTGAGAAATTTTAATTTCTCCATTGAGAAAATAAAGAAAACTTAAACTTGGCAGTACTGTGAAAATTTGGTTAGCTGAGCTCGAATTCCATGATATCCATTACAACTTTTAGCATTTTCATTAATACATAATTTTGTACTGAAGCGCAGACGAAATATAGAATAGACCTAACATGCAATGTAATGTTCTCTCCCCTGCTTCGAGGGCTCCAGAATCCCCGTAACATTTCAGTGTCAATACCAAACGTTACCAATTCAGTGTGAAATTATGTCGCCACACTCTTGTGGCACAGATGAGATATGAATAAGATTAAATAAATAATTCTTATATCTCGTCTGTGCTTGTGGCCAAAAGCACCGAGTAATCTCGTCTATATTGGAGTACGTGGCCTCCAGTACCTTGTAACGCCACCTGACGACATGAATATGGTACCAATTTGCTAGTAGCTTGGGCTTTTTGTCGTAGATGGCATCTGTTTTTTTATCGCTATTATAATTATGTATTAAAATATATAATATTATCTAGAAATGCTAAAACCTACAAGTATTTATGTACAATGTCAATTCAATGAAATTCAGCCAACAATCTGATACCACTACCAAATGTACTTAATTGCAATTTGGGGATAGTTCTTGAATTTTTCAAAATACATTTTATACCATTGAATATCACGATATAAGAAAGAGCTCTCATTTCGGTGCATGTTGTTTAAAGGCTTTTCGTTACGAATGGTTACGAATATTACTATGAAAAATCTATAAAGTGGAGGGCAGGGATTACTTTTCATTCATTAGGTTCCCTAATATTTTTTATTCGTAAGAGCATACAAGCCCCAATTAATTATCTTAGCGAAATACATAACTGTATCGCATTTTATGTAACGTCAATAGATATACCGGATGTGACAGACAGCATAACGATTCTTGAGGTTAAGTGACATTGCCCTTATTATTTTCTTTTTTAAGTACCACGACTTTTGTTTCTGACTGGTGGACGAATCGAATAATATGCCGGCGCCGAATTCTATTAGCGTGGCCGTAATATGTTCTAGTAATATGAATCGAAGCATGGAAGCCCATGCCTTTTTGAGGTAATTAAACCTGCTGACAGTCATGTCACAGACATTATGTTTGGATTTTCTGTACTTTGAATTCATTCTTTTTTTTAGCAAGAAAGGTTTCAATGTAAAAAGCTTTGGAACAGGGGATAAAGTTAAACTTCCTGGAAATGCTCCAGATCGCCCAAATATCTATGACTTTGGAACCTCTTATGATGAAATCTACAATGACCTTTTATCAAAAGACAAGCAATAGTATCCTAACTATTTGATAAACAATTTATTTTTCTTTTTCAGGCAAGAAGCACAAAATACTATTACTTTTAATGAAATACGCTTCTCTGTTTATTTACATTTATAGTAATGATAATAAACTATCAAAAATGAATATATCTGTTGTTCTAGTATAAGTCTATAGAATAAACGAAAATAATTAGAGTTCCTTAACAGTAATATTAGCTATACACAAAATGGGTTATTGCACATGTTGGAAAGAAATCGTAGAATCAAACCCAAGCCAGAACGATTTCAATTGTCTAAGGACAAATTTGATATTCTAATTACTTGCGAAGAACGGGTATACGACCAAGTGATTGAATGTATGGAATCCAGGACTCAGGAGGACAATCAACCAGTGCACCTAATTAATATTGATATCCAAGATAATCATGAAGAAGCTACAGTTGGATCCTTCCTCATTTGCGAATTAGTCACTGTGGTACTCTTAAAATTGATAATTCTTTTTGTAAACTCCTACGATGTAATAACATGTCTTTCATAATAACTAAACTATGGTGTTACAGTTGGCCAGTAGCGAAGATCTAGACAATGACATAGACGAACTGCTTCATGAATTTGAATCAAAGTTTGCGAGAACGATTCTACACACTGTGCTGTTTTATTAAGAACCCTATCAGATGTCTGAAACCTGGTGTTTGTCAACAACTTAACTTATGAAAGGAACTAAAATATCTCTTACAAAGCATACCGCCACATTTTCTGACTCGGATTATGTGAAACGAATTCCACTGTAAACAAGTAGGAATTTGATCCGTGCTTCCTATTTAATAAATCATTACTTTCCACGGGATATGTTTCAGAGATCTGCTATTTGCGTTTACATTACACCTGCAGTCGGCAAGATGTAAAAGCAAGATCGCAGCCGCGTTCGTTCAGCGATGTCCGAACGCTAGTTGTCAGAGAGGATAGAAAAGCGAGACGCGACGGACATAAGTTATGAAATATTTTAATTTTATAATATATACGCATATAAGTACAATAGTAAATTATTCTTATATGTGTATGTATTTTATCGTTAGAATGTACTTGTGGTATTTAGGATCGATATGAATCTCTGATAATTCCTGTAAACTCAGAGATTTGTATATTGCATGATACGAACCGCTGTTATATAGCGAAAAGGCCTTCAACTCAAATAGTTCAAAAAACGATACAGTACTAATATGTCCACCGAATCAATGTTGATCGAGATGAGCGTACAATCTTCTCGTTTTCTCACGTTTCTTTTTATTTGAATGTTTATTTATCTTTTTCCATGGTTTTTCTTCGAGTAACAAGCTCTGAGTGGAATTAACTACTGATCCTGTATCGCTGAAAATTACAATAATTGTCGAATATTATCGAGGACATTCGTATAAACGCTCCATTACTATTATATATGAATGATTATTGTCAATGATTATACACGAATGACTTTATTGAATAATAAATATACAATAATGTTACATACCTAGAACCGATCCGGCATGTACCACGCATTTTTCCAATCATTCCTTTTGTATGTACACTTGAAACATTGCTTTGGAAGAATACTTTATCCACATCTTCAGAGCTAGTCTTACTCCCTTTACTCGCACGTATTGTCCTAGCTGGCAAATGTTTATTTACAGGAATAGTTCTTCTTTGTGGGGGGAATATGTGAAATTTCTCTTGCTCTACTGTCGGTGGTGCAACGCAGTATAAAAGTTTACCATTCACAAAATCTTTTAAAACATAACGTGCTGATCGTGGATTGTCCGGTTGTCCGTTTTGCGTCATAAAACCTCTATTATCTAAAGCAAAAAATGCCGTCTTATATGAAATTATTGCATTTAATATATGTAATATAATAAATTCGTTTACATACATCCATATGCATTTAACATTTCTTCTGCTGTTGGAGGACGGTCAGGATCTTCTCCTTCTATAGGTAGAGGTAACATGATACCATAGAGATCTTCCATAATATGTCTTGGTATTAAAGTTCCCAATAACGTGATTGGTGGAACATGATCCCTCATTTGATCAATTGGTAATATGCCGTTTAAAATCATTTCCGCTTTAGTGCAGATAAAACTTGGCATTACTAATCCAGGACAATCACAGAGCAATAGGTCCGTATCCAAGAAAAGTGTCTGAAAATGTTTTGTCTTGCCTGGTGTGGCAGATACTGATACTTTTTTGTCCATCAACAAAGCATTAATTGTGGAACTTTTACCTACATTTGGATATCCTACCAAACCAATTGTTGTAATGCCTTCAGTACATGTTTTACCTTTGTAAATTCTTTTGAAAAATGACACTAACTGATCCCTAGTTAATAACTCTGATGAGTTTTCTATTCTTGCATTGTCTTGACTTACTTCTTCTATTGAAGTTTTCAGTGCATGCAAATCACACTTGTTGTCCTTAGGTTCTATGTGTTCTCCATTTTCTACTTCAGAATTTTTATTTATACATTCTGAGTCATCTATAATCCCCATATTATCATCTGCACTCTCATATATGCTTTCCGAGGAAGCTCCTGAATTGTACAATGATTCATCATCATCTTCATCCTCTGTATCAGTTTCTACTTCACTACCTTCTTCACTTTCCGAATTTTCTTCCTGTATTGTTTCTTGAACCTTCTGCCTTTCAGCTGCTAATGTAGCAGAAAAAAATGCAACTCTTACATTAATATCCGAAAAATACTTTGCCCATTCCTTTCGTTGTTGCTCAGTTAAGAAGTCTGCCTTATTAACCAATATTGTATTCATCTTCTCAGGATTTACCTCTTTGACATAACTCTCTAAATCCTCACATCTAAAAAGCAAAGGATTCCGTGCATCGACAATTTGCACAATAACATCACTGCGTTCCACTACTCTCCACAGTTGTCTCCAAAACTCCAGATTCTTTTCATAAGGTGTTAACATTAATCCTTCCGCTTCTTGAAGCAGGGACAGAGTACGTCTCCATTCTAAGAAATGTTCTCTTTCTTTAGCTTGTAATTCTTGAGCTGTAGTGGAGCTGTCCCATTGTGGCCTTCTTGGTATTTTAAGCAAAGCTTTATTTTTCTGTTGCGTTTCCAAAATCTTTTCTTTCTCATCTTTCGAAAGTAGTCCGATTCCGCTTTTTGGATTAACAAACTTGATGTTCAATTTCTCCGCCTGAAACTCTGTACCCGCTAACTCGGCAGTCGATAGAAATTCTTGGAAAGAACTTTCTTCCGTAACAGATTGAAGATTAAGACGTCCCCAGTCGTAACCATCATTTAACGACATAGTATGGATCTATTTGAATGTACAATTTCCAAATAATGAAACGTTTTTACCACATGTACCGGACTGTAAAAGGTTATGGACAAAGTCATTACCTTACCATAGTCATATCATCATGTTTTTTACGTTTTGTAGAACCAAAACGATTTCTAATTAATGCTTTTCCTAAGTTTCCACTTCCTGCCTTTTCCTTTTTACCCATTTTGTACAAATTTATCTTATTCAAGGAAACATAACACGAGGTTAACTTTTACCAAACAACACAACCATGCAACGTCGGAAGTAATGAAGTTGATACAAACGAAATGTCAAAGCATGATATAACATATACCTAACAATCATAATGCATTTGAAAAAAATTATATTTAATTAAATTCGATGTATGGGGTGGTATATTCAGAGTAGAATTAAAATATATATTTATGCATCTTACATCTGAACTATATATATATAGCGAATTAAACCTATACCTATCGTATAACATCTATAAATTAAATCTGGGACAGATCTTCAATTCAAATTATTCTGCATCTTACTCCGTTTTATTAATAACTGATAGGTAAACTGTTCTGGTTCACAGTTTCTTGACGACCAGCAACAATTATGAAACGTTCAACATGCTCCACATGCTTCTTTCCTTCCTTCGTTTTCCTCGCGCACCAATCAATTCTCAAATTGGAACAAGAAAGTTCTTTCGCAAGGCAGCTTGTGAACAGTTTTTTTCTTTGAAATAATATTGGTGTCATCGGTTATATATTATATTACAATTCTTGCGGTCTAGCACGACCCGTAAACATTCGTATATTCTGCGCGAAAGTGTTATAAGACGCGGAGAGATCGCGCTTACTTCGACGAGGTGAATCTCGTATTTAGAAATCTAGCCGTCTAGTAATGGATAATCAGTCACTTCTTCGGAAAAGATCAGCTCTCCCAAATAAAGTTACTCCAAAAAAAAATATACTTTCATTCAAGCACGCAACGCTCAGTTTCCTAACAGAAAGTGCAAAGTGGCTCGCACCGTATCCAACGTCGGTCCTCATCTTACACTGCGATGCTTTCACAGAATACCGCCGTTCTTCACCGACAACTGTACAACCTGCACAAAACATTGGTTCATAACAGTGCAAACGGCAGTCTGGCAACAACACCATAAAGATACTTCATTCGTTTCAATAGTTATCTCTTCCTCTGATACCACGCGATTGATCACCATCACGTCCTCTACCACGGTTGCTGTACCCACTTCTGCCCATATTATTGTCGTTAGGACCCCGATTCATGCCACGATTAGGTCCAAGCTTATTTCCGAAGTTACCAAAGTTCGTATTAAAATTATTTGGTGCGTTCTGGCCGGGATTCTGACCCCGGAAACCTGGACCGAAGCCGGGTCTGTCGAAATTCGGTGGTCCAGAGTTCGGTCCTCTAAAGTTCGGTAAACCTTGAAAACTGTTACCGAATGGTCCTGGATTCGATCCGAACAGAGGTAACGGACTGGGCCTGAAGTGTTGATTCGGACCGAAATTGCCATTCGGTGGTCTGAAATTGGGACCAAAGTTTCCAGGGGGTGGTCCGTTCGGACCAAAACCAGGGTGCATATTGGGATGATGCATCATGTGCATGGGACCATCGATTCCTTGCATACCAGGATGTAAAGGTTTATTCTGCATAGGATGCTGAGACATATTTGAATGTGACACTAAACTTGGAATAGGAGGAGGCATATTCGGATTAATATTTTGCATATTGTGATGACTGGACATGTGAGATATGCTGTTGCTTAAGTGGGGCATATTATTACTCATGCCGGGGCCCATACCCATCGGCATATTATCGCGTTTGTCGAAACTACTAGAGAAACTACTGTCCCCTTTCCGAGGGCCATCGTTCATCGATTTTTCATCGTCCCATCGCGAACCACCATCCCGATCTCTGTCGTCGTAAATGTCATTGTCCAAAGGCTTCTTTAAGGGAAATCCATGCGAACTCCTGAAGTCTTTGTCTGCATAATTACTTCTGACATCATAATCAGAACGCGAACTAGGCCTACCGGGTCCACTGGATATGTTAAATCGTAAATCTTCGTCACCACGATTCATATTTCTTGCCATATCACCGTGAGGAAGTTTCCTGAGATCCTCATCTTGTCCGGTATGGAAAGAATTATTTTCGTTCGAATGTTGGTTCGTTTTGCTTCCAGTGTATCTTAAGTCGGTATCGCTGGATTGTGAATCCTCCGTCATCACCCCGCCGAATACTGGCTGATGAATCTTGGACGTTCGATCGCTAGCTCCACCGTCGCTCCAACCGATCAGCTGGTCGAATTTCCGTTTCCCACCGCGATTCAGGGCTTTAAGCAATTCCGGGTTTTGTGCGAACTTAGAACTAGGTAAAGGTGGAGGAAGTTCGATGTCGGGAACTTTCGAATAATCTATTTCGCCGTCATCCTGCAAAAATTCCTCGGCCTCGTCCACGTTGTCTGGCGGGCCAACAACATCGCGCAGCTCTTCTATCTCTCCAGAGAATACTAATTTATTTATGGCGTCATTTCCTTTACTAATTGCCTCTGCTAACTTGGAACCAGCTGCAATATTCACAACGTTATATACCTGCTGCTATATTTTGCGACACGAGTGAATGGTAAACAGTACTTACGTTCAACGGGAATCATTTTTCCATATAATATAATACCATTAGGTGTGACATCATTCAGAGGTACTGCTCCTGGAGTAGTTTCAATTAACTGATTCACAAATGCATTCAAAGCCTCCACTTGCTCCATATCTTCTGCCTCCATTTCATTCCATTGAGCTTGGAAATTCCTTGGGATTGGTTTGCTGTATGGAACTTTTTTGTTCGCAAACTTTTTCCCTTCGTCGACAGCGTGATCCAAGTCCAACCCAGGAATTCCACCGCTTTTATCTTCTGGTTCACCGTCGGCGTTGATCCTGTCTTCTGGTCCCATACCAGGAATTACAGCTGCCTCGTCAGCTATGAAATTCATAAAATGGATAATAGTAACACTTCTTTGAGCTACATAATTTAGCGTAGTAACAGAGACAAGAGTCTGAGCCTCTTTGTCTCTACGAAGGCACACGGCGCGAAAGAACAATTGGCTTACTTACATTGGCCAGCGCTGATATAATTTGTTGCTTACCTATTTCGTGATCATCAACTCCAGCGGATCCTGCAGGTAATGTGTTGAGATTATATTTATCTCTCATCAAGTCGCCAGGCCTGTTTCGTGTCCAGAACTTTGAAGTGTGATCGTTACTACCGGAACAGAGAATGTGTCCCAATGGATGCCAAGCTAATGTCCAGACTATACTGTCGTGAGCTTGTTCTATTGCACCCACTTCCTTATCCGCTCTAAAGATAAATTGTAATGTGTGAAGTATTTAAGAAAAACCACAAAGTCGTAAACTAAAAAAGCATCCAGAAGCATACCCAACATGCCAGAATAAAATAGCTCCGTCGCTGCCACCACTACAGAACAGGCCTTCATGACTCGGATGCCACGCGACGCTGGAAGCTTCTTTCTTGTGACCACGAAACGTTTGAACTTCTTGGCTTAAGTTCCTAAGGTCGAACAGCTTGAGCAAGTGATCCCGCGATGCAGTCACCAACCAATTTCCGTTCTCATTCCACTTAACATCCATCACAGTCGACTTGTGCGCATGTAAAGTTGCAAGAGACTGCCCAGTCTTTGGGTCCCATAGTTTGACCGGTTGCTGGTTATCTTTGCTTCCTGAGATGACTAGACTTTTTTGAGGATGCCAATGTACACACTTCACATCAGCTCCATGACCTAAACAAGTGTTGTATGAACGTTTTTTCCTGCCTCTAATTACACTACCTCCATAAGGATAACTTATTTAACACCGATTATATCGACGAACATAATTATAGCATAAAAAAAAAATATGATATATACCCCTCAAAATTCGTTCTTCATGACACCGAAGAAAGTCCCAAATTCTGACAGTTCCATCATCACTGCATGTTGCCAGTTTATGATCCGTTGGACTGAAACTACCCGCCCAAAAAACAAGAGTTATATTTAAACAATATGCTATTACATGTTTCTGAAAAATATCTTTATTTGTAAATTCTGCCAATGAAAGGTATTCAATGAAATAAATGTTATAATAAGATGTGGTGTGTAGCACATCTCTTAATCCGATTGTCTTATACAGATACAAGTTATTCAAATACTTAAAGTAGTGAGTGCTAAGAGAATCACACAACACAATGAAAAATTGACTGCACACTGAACTTTATTAACTTTTATTTAAATTAATCTGTTTACAAGTGCAATAAGTTTAAAGTGGAAGGTAGCAAACCATGTGAAATATTTATTGAACTCAATAGGATATGTGATACACCTTACGGACATTATTGTAACACAACTTCAGGACATAGTTACTACAAATTAAACTCGAAGTATATAATGGCTTACATTTATTACTGATTCGTCATTCTGCTTATTAAATAAATATTACCGCATGCAATGTTCATCTATGTACGAAGTAAGTAGAGAATATTGTATTTTGCCTTCATCTCCATGCTACCTGCTAAGGAATTTACTTATACATTTTCACATCTCCACATGCATCCTTATTGAATCCAAAATAAAGGTTTATGTAAAAGTTTATATAGATTATTTCACGAATTCATGAAAGGTTACAGTTTTGAAAAAAATTTTAAGAAGGTGAATGTATAACAAACTGTTGTTTTATGACCACTGATAAATTTTTTATAATATTTTTCCTACAAGTTTATAAGTAATTTATACACGGAAAACGCAACTTGTAACACAAGAAATGTGTAAACAAACGTTACTACCGGATCAATTATAGAAATGCACAATATTCTGTGTGATGAGCACAGTGGAACCTGCGATAAGTGCACGTTAAGGAACAGACAGACATCAGTAATAAAAGGAAGATCTATGTGTGAATATTGTAAATAAACAAAAAACCATCTTCGACAGTCATATCTGGCACTCAAACAAAATTTATTGCCCGTTAAGCAACAAACTGTTTCATTGAAGTGAAATTAGAATAATCTCTCTTTGATGCCACATGACCACCGAGTGATATACCAAGAGTAATATTTTTTTAAAAGTTTAACATTTATTGCACAAAAAAAATGTCCGAAGTGTACATGAATTTTATTTTATATATCTCTGCTACTCTCTCTCTCTCTCTCATCTGCAAAAGGGCACAAGTGACACAAATCGAAGAAAAAATACTTTATTATCAGAGCCATGCAATACTGCAATGTCTTTATTCAACTTTATTGAAACGTGGACGATGTAAGGACACAGGATATTTATTTTTATTATAGTTCAATGGGAGTCTCGACTAGGTATTGCTGTATATATTTCTTTCTTGTTTATTAGTCATTGTAAATTACACATCTTGACCCAACAATCTGACTATATAAACTCCTCGGACCAAGAGCCATAAGGACCTAATTTTATTTTCCAGTGGTTTATTGTACCTTCTTCTTTACACCTTTTACGCACAGCAATGTAAAGTAATAATAAGTTCTTACTACCATCACCTAGAGAACTTTGTACATCAACTTAGGTCCCTAAGACTCTAGGAGTACAAATGATATGTTCCATATCAACACACGTACAACATAGTTGACAGAGAAGTTTACACTATCCTTGCATGTCAAATTTGAATATCATTATGATCCGTGAAAATACAGAGAATTTAAAAAAAATTTATCATAATACTGAAAATCTACCGCATACTCAATTTAATCAAAAGGGACCAATATATTTATTGAGCTACTTGTAGATGTATATCACTTATCGTTTTTGAATGTAATTATATCACATTTTATTAATTTATATAAAATATCCCTCTTCGAAGTATATATTTCTAAAAAGTTATATCTGATATAAAACTTCATATATATGTATGTATGTATATATATATATATAAAAATAGTCATTTTTACAATGGTCTTCAATAATGCGAATAAAGATACTGTGTAGTATAAAAATTCATTTTTATCATAGAACTCTTCATGGAGTTGACTATTAGCATATTTCCCTCGCGCCTGATACCCAAAAATCTTTACCTGCTATCTATCAAAAACTTTGGAAATCACCTGTGTACCCATAGAAGAATCACTATTATCATAGCAGAAGTGTCATAAAACCAGAAAAGGAAGAGAATGAGAGTTATGTCCAGTATCTTAACTACAGCAAGGATGGACGGATCATCGATAACAGTGGCGCAAGAGACGTAAGGACTAGTGTGGTGGATGGTATACCTGAGTCCTCTAATCGCTTCTTTGTGAGCCTGAAACATCTTGACATTGTTCATGTTGCTCTGCCAATACTTGACGTAGCCTGCATGATCTCCTGTAACCATCCAGCTCTCATTGTGCGACCACACCATTGTTCTCACTGGACTATCATGTGCCTGCACAGAAAAGATTAAATTCTTATTAATATATTTGCAAAAGATGCATACCCTTTATAGAAGGACTATTTTTTACGTTTATACTTCGGAAATGTCGAAGTTCCTAATACTACATATTTCTTTGAGTATTTGCTCCGAACGAGGATCGCACGAGCGAATCAGCGCTTATTCAGTGCTCGTTAGGGGGCAAATGCTCAGATCAATAAGCAGCTCTAATGATTCTAGTGCATAAATATTTTAAGAATGCTGTTTGAAACAATATTTTACTATACATTATGTAATATAAATCATAATTAAGTACAAAATGTACCTGTAAAATAGTTTCAAAATTAAAGGTAAGGCCATTCCAGAGGGTAAACTCTCCACTAGATGCACCAGTGACTAAACGTCTACCCTCTGGTGTCCAAGCCATACAGAAGATAGGACATCGCATTTTATTTGTTGCTGTCTTCACGAATCTTGTTGTGACTGCATTTATTGGATTGTCAACATAACTGGGTGGTGGGAGTAAGTCAGGATAATACATTACATCCGGCTGAAGAGCACGTCTGTCTCTATAGTCCCTTTGCCATACTCGATTCTATAAATACAAGATTCATAATGTTAGTACTATATGCTATTGACTCGATATAATTTTATAAGGCAAATCAAGAATCCTACCTCTAAGCTCTTTATGATAGCAGAATTATAATCAACAGTTTTTCTCATAACAGATTTCCTAAGTCTTTTCCCATCGAATTCATCTTGCAAACTATCCTGGCCAGCAGCAACAATTTTTGGAGCATGATAAGGCCTGAATGGCTTAAAGAAACCACGGGCCCCATCTCTGTGATTAGTGTACCGATGTTGGTAGCTTCCAGATGTGTTTATGGTAGTTAAATTAGGAGGCGGAGCTGACAAATTTGGAGTGGCAGGTGGTGGCACTGACATATTAGGTAAACTTATAGCTGGTGGAGGATTTGCGAATTGAGCATTTGCAGACATAATGAAATAATTTATAGGATATTACAAATAATTTAAATATACAAAAGGAAATATAATCTAAAGGGATAATAAGGGACAAACATATTCGTTGTTTAATATTGTCTAATGTTGCTATGCTGAATCCATTGCATTTACTAATTCTGGAAAAAGAAACATAAAATACATATTTTATTAGCATTTTATTAAGTAACTGTACTTAATTTCATGAATACATTCGTCAAATTATTGGTATCAAATTCACATATGCCATGCAGTACATTTCCAGATCAAGTAATGAGTGAAAAATAAATTAAATGAAGACTAAAATATTTGTAAACATGAATGAATTTATTAAAGAAAAAGTGAAATGTTAATTTCAATTGTACAGTCGTTGCTTTAATAGAAAAACGTTGCATTCGAATGTGGATCTACACATCCAAACACAAGAAGACAGAAAATGCACTTTCACAATATGTGAAAGTAAAATATTGACTTCCTATTGATGAAAATACTCTACACTCTATTTAACCTGAATGAAAGCAAGTTTCAAAAATTGTTCTCTTTAATTGATTTAGTATCATACAATTACGTATTCGCAACTCGTAAACGATTAGTGATACCTGCTTCCACCGAAATTAGAACGCTAGCGAAGGTTAGACTGTAGATTCTTAAAAAAGGAAAAGCAATTCGACGGACATAAATTTTCTAGAAATTCAGAATTTCTTGCAATGAATAGTGAAACACATTTACAAAAACTGAATAAACAACCTGCTCATTAATTGCGAACAAATTTTCTCTGATGCTGTTCCACTGTAAAACCCTTGAAATGTACACAACCACTTATTCACACCAAATGTGAAAACGTTTTTGAAACGATAATCGAAATATAAAGATTAATGAAAACGTTACTTGACAATAGTACCGATAACCAGAACGTTCTACTTCTAATATGAGAATTTAAACGCAACGGGCAAACAGTAAGGAAATTGTGTGTCCGCTATAAACGCCATTACTCGTCTGGACGATGACATCCGTTTTATACGTTTCCACTTCCGTCGGTGGTTTTAGGGAATTATTACGATACACGTTTTTAAATCAATATTATTCATTAGAAATAATCATTGCATACATAGATTATCAGAAATATAATGAATTAATGTGTTTTTAAAGAACAAATGTAGAACAGATTGAAAGGCAATAGGGATTTTTAAGATTCACCATGCTAGAAGTAGCTAGAAGTTTTGCGTTTCACTTATATACAAGATTCTTCGTTCCTCTCTGATTTATTATTTCAAAAGGTATACACATGTATACATGATTTAAAATAAATCTTTATACAGATGTCACCTATACTGTACCCAACCACTGTTATAACAACGAAGACAAGATATTTTTTTATTAAGAAAAAACACCTGTTAAGTCACTGAAATTGATCCGAACTTCGTGTCTCTCTGAAAGCAAATGCGAAGTTACTTAAAATTCTTTCATCTCGTGTTTATTGAGGTATTCTTTAGTGCAGAAAGGAAATATTTGTAATGATATAAACAAATATTCATTGTTAATAGTCAAACATCAGACAGCACAAATCAGATGATTAAAGACCTCAAAATATTTCAGAAAATTGGTTGTCTGATACATAAAGAAATAGTACATGAAGTGTAATATGTACCAGGAGTTACGTATCTCCATGTTGCTATTATTTTAATTATAAATCATGAGTGATAAATCCAAGATAACAAAACTTCCTCACCATCTGCAACAGAAACTTTGTCATACAAGACCACCTTATAGACAAGGGAAAAAGTTGACATCCGTGAAGGTAGCATTGTGGACTTGTATCCTATTAAATATGAAATAACAATTTTACCTTTGTCTTAAGCACTTTTATAATTTTTTAGTCTTAATAAGCAATTTTGACTGTTGCTACGTCTATAAATATTCTGATCTAAAACATTGACTTTATCTAGACTTTTGCAGTTGTCTAATGGCAGTTTATAATATGATCTAAACAGTTTATTTTTGCATTTTACAATATTTCCTTGACACACTAGCTCTGTGTAACAGGTTTATACAATAAATGATGAATCGAAGCATTTGATGATATGTGGAGTACCAAAGCTCCAATTAGGTGAAGAGATAAAGAAGCTAGTTAAACCTTATGGAGATGTAAGAAAAATTCATGTAGTACCTGATTATCCTACAGAAGAATTTACAGATGCATATTACATACAATATGGTCGTATACAAAGTGCAAGGTCTATAATTTCTTGCATTTTAATATTGGCATCTAATTTAATGTTTATTAAAAAACATGTTATTGTATCCTATATCTTTAAATAATGTTGTCATACAGAATAGCAAAGCGTTTTATTGATGGTAAAAATTTTTATGGGGGCTCGCTACATATATTTTATGTACCTGAACTGGAATCTGTAGCAGAAACTGAAGCTAAACTCACTCAACGTAGTAAAGAAGTCACTATACGCATAAAGAAAAATCAGCAAGATGCTTTGAATCCGAGTACAGACAAATTTGTACTCAAGTATGTTGTGAAACTAGTTCTTTATAAAAACCTATAAATACATATCTGTCAAATATTAAATTGTATTTTAAATTGTCTTCAATAACAAATTTCAGAGAACAGTATCACAGAAGAAAGAGAACACCAGCTTTACCTCTGACAAAGGAACGTTTAATTAAACAATACCCTGGAGAAACATTGACTTCTATTTATAATGGTATTCCACAAAACATAGACCCGAGGCCAGTGTCTGAACCTAGTTTACCTTCAACCTCATACAGTTCTCAAAATAGTAAATCAAATGCACCTGCCATACCTCAAGCTCCGTATCATCCAAGTGAAGCTATCCTCAAAGAAACAATACCAAAGTTTGATACTGCAAGAGGCAAAAAAAGAAATTATAAAGGACAATCTGTTGATAATAATGTAAAATTCAAAATAGTAAGACCCCAAATAGTAAACACAAGCACCATAGTAAAGTGGGATACTTCTGAGAGAAAAGTTTTTAGTAATCCTAAAAAAGTTGATAGTAATATAACTATTAAATTAATTTCGAAAAGTGATAATGATAAGAAGAGAATTGTAATAAAGGATCCAAGGTATGATATATCTAATGTATAACTTTCATGATCTCATTCAGCTATTACGATTACATATTTTTTTTAGTGTGTCACAATTAATACAACCAAGCAAAGACCTTCAAGTTTCCATTCAAGAAGCCAAATCTCAGATACGTGCAGCAATGCACGTAAATAATTTGGAGAAATCATTGCAATAAAGTGAAATAATTAAAAAAAAAAAGTATTTTGTAATGAAAACAGTCGATTCTTATGTTAAAATAAATACATTAATTCCAGTGGACTTACATTTACATTTACAGACATAATCATTTATTTTTACATTAATTTGAAGATCTGCCGTACTTAAAAAAATTCCTATAAAAAACATGAATTACATATAAACTCTATCATGAACGAATAATTCTAAAAATAATTAAATAATAACAGTTGAGTCTGGATCCCACTGTACGCCATTTACCTTAGATCTTGCTATATGTTTTTTGTGCGGTGGTGTATTTTCTTGTAACATTTTAGTCTTTATACCCTTACTTTTGAATATCTGTTGTGGAGAGTTTGTTGCTAAGTTTTTTTGCATCTGTGCATTATTTGAACAATTTCCAAGAGGTGTTCGAATCTGAAAGCAAGAATAATTGTATGATTTTTCAAAAATACAATTAGTAATATATTTATGTACCTTTGTAGGTTCATTCCTATATTTATTATCAGAATTGAACATTTTCTTTTCATCCAATACAGTTTTGGTTTCTGATTTGAAGACTTTCCTTCTTTTTGCAGTTACATCTGTCTTCTTCTTATTGATATCACATTTAGCCAATTTCAGTGATAATGTATCTTTCGCAGTACTATCATCATCAAATGCTATAATTACTTCTTCCTTTGGCAATTGTGACATTTTATCTTCAATATCTTGCACATCATGTGATTCAGCTAATTCTGATTTAGGCTTATCCTGTATTAATGAAAATTTCCATATTTTTATTGCATCACTATCACTACCATGGTTCCCATTATGCTGTACATCTTTTGTAATGTGTACATTGTTGTAGGTATCGTGATCTGAAGTTGTACCTGCATCCTCACTCTCCAATTGCTTTTCTCCTATTGTATCATTTATATTAGTGCCAATTCTACTAGAATTGAACTGAAAAGATACAATAAAAGTAATATCCTCACCAATTTCTGAATTTGTATCAGTCATAGATGAATCACTGGAACAAGATGAGTCAGATTTATTTAATTTATTATCAAACTCATCAGTGACCAAATTTAATGATCTTATTTTGCACATAGCTAAATCTGGCAAAGCTTGTATTTCAGGGATACTGAACTCAGATGAAGTTTCACAGTATGAAAATTTCGGAGTAAGCACGTCTGTGTTATAACTACCACGTCTGTGCAAACTTTCTTGGACCCTTGCTTTTAGTAGAGCAATGGATTTTGGTATTAATATTGGTGTTCTATCAAAATCTGCAGCTGGTGACCTAGGATCAAGTCCCAAAACATTATAGCGTTCTTTTTCTATTGGTGTAAACACCCTTTTATAGATTACTTTATCTATTGTTGGTGTTAACTGCCTGTTCGTTTCTGCATTTCTACTATCCTAAAATAAATTACTTAAATTTACAAATACTTCTTGATTAGAGAGGTATTAACTCTTTCTTACAAAATAGATTTAGAAAATTTACCACATGCAAATATAAGTTTTCATTTTCTACTTTTGGCACACATTTCCTTGGTGTCAAAGGTGGTATTATTTTATCCAGGTCTGTTTCTAAATATCTTTTTGCCTGTAAATAAACATATTTCTGTTTATCCCAACAGGTGTGGAATTGACCTATCGATATGATTTTATGCATTTACCAGTGCAATATACAAAACCATAAAAATTTATTTGCAATATTATCTTACATAAGTTCCTTCAATTGGTGTTCTATCTATGCCACTAGTTACTGATCTGGGATCAATAGGTAATCTCTTTTGAATTACAGGTGTGTGTGTAGTTTCTTCTATAGTTTCCTCATCTGTAGAAGGTGATTGTATTTTTGTTTCTTCGTTTACAGTCTCAGTATCATGAAGAAAAAATTTATTAACGTAATTTCCCATTATTGGTGTTCCTTCCTTGGATCTTTCAGTACACTATAAAATCAATTATAGTACACTAGTAAATTAATTAGTATGAAGGGCATTGTGTATTTGGACGTAAACACATAACGGACACGGATGTTTTTCAACAATAAAAATTGTTCTAGACGGTTATTTCAGATTGTGTATTAATTTGACATCGTACGGAGCTTTAGAATTAAATTTACCTTAATCAAAAACTCGTGAAATTTCACAAGTAAAACGAGAAAGCAATTAACACCGCTTCACACTTAACACTGTGTTTGAACTGTGACTTGCCCAGAATTGACTTTGAAAATGAACTTTGAAAATTAAACCGACCGAATGATTAAATGTTCCCAACGTAAAACCAAAGAATGCGAATTCCCTACTACAATAGTATGTAAACTTTGTATTATTGTAATGATATCAGATTATTTGTTGACAACTACTGGAGTAATATGATGCATTCGCAATTATCGGATGTAAAGTTTTCAATTAATATTTAATTCTTTTATATATAATAGAAAAAGCATAGAGTTATAGATAACAAAAATTCTCAAGCTTCTAGTAAATTACTACTAGCAGGACTAAACAATTAGAGCCATCTAAAATCAAGAAAGCAGTACTAATTGACTAATAGCTTAAGTTTTTTCCTTAGATGTCGCCATGGGTTGTTTCGACTAATTTTTCTATTACATGGAAAAGAATGGAATATTACTTAAAAACTCCATATCAGACGATTGTTAATGCATAATATTAATTCAGTAACTATCAACAAAGTTAGTTCAACATATTAAAAAAATGCAAGGTACATAAATAGTTCCACACAAACTATTTAAGTAAGAATAAGGCCCACTATTGAACTTTCCGCAGCTTTATGTATTGTTTTGGTTGTATGTACGATATGCAGTTCGACATGTAAAAATATGATGCGTGTCCGGTATCACATTGTTTCTAAATGAACTTAAAATATGTAACAACATAAATCAGCAGGACATTACATTTTCTATCAACTTAACTATAATAATTATAATGAACTTAAACTATGTCAAACTAACGATAGTTAATGTGACATGTCTACTACGACGTAAAACAACTTAAATAATTTCTACTTTATAAAGCTCAATTAATATTGCGGATTGAAATGGAAAATATAAAGGAAATGTCAATAAATCCTAAATAAGATGACATTGATAAAGTTTGTTATATTGCATAGGCATTTGCATTATTCGTATTAATTGTACACAAGGTCAATAAAATTGCTTATAGAAAAAAGTGTGCTTAAACATACAAATATGTCAATCTGTACAAATTTACAAGAAAACCACAGAAATGATACAACTCAAATGCAATCTATGAATCTTGTTTGTCCAACCTGTGACCTTGTAATTATAAATAAGAAAGAATTTTATGATCATTTACATAATCATGTTGAAGATGGTTTGTTAAAGCATATACAGCTTTTAAAGAAGGATATAAACAATGAACTGCAAGTAGAACCAGAATATCTTAGCAAAGAAAAGTACCATGATAATTCACAGGAAAATGTGGCAAGACCTTTCAAGTGCCAAAAATGTAATATAGCATTTGATAGAGCCTCTCAATATGATTACCATTATAGAAGTATACATTTAGGTGAAAAATCACAGCTCTGTGAAATCTGTGGCAAAGGTTTCTTTAGGAAAGCAGATCTACGAACACATTTAAACATTCATTTAGGCACAAATATTTGTATCTGTGAAATTTGTGGGAGAAAGTTCAATCACATATCCAATTTGATTAGGCATAGTAGAATGCATGCTGGTAATTATGTTATTTACATATAAAATTACATAGATAAAGTGTAATGTATAGTAAAGAAATTGTTTGACATTAAATTTATAGGGGTGAAACCATATCCTTGCTGTATTTGTGGTAAACATTTTACTCAAATCAGTTCCCTTGCAAGGCACAAACGTATTCATGAAAGGCTAAAGAAAAATACTGCGTATAAAGCACAAGATAATTGTGTCAGTATCAATAGCGAGAACCAGGACCATGTAGTAAACAAGAATGAGGTGATTAAAGAACATTGTATTGTATAATATTTGTAAATACCAATGTGTATTTCATTGGCAATGTACAATAGTCTGTTGAAGGTAATGCACCTGTTCAGTATAAAGCTGTTAAGAGACAGCACTATTGTAAAACATGTGGTGAAAGTTATAGTCTTATTTTGCATTTGAGAGACCATGAGAAGTCTCATTCAAAGAATGCAAACATTTTGGAATGCAAGAATAATGAGATGGTAAAGATTATAAGAATAATATTTGTAGAAATTTTGTCCATGATCGTTTTTATCATTTAGAATTTTTAGAAAAACTCAGAACTCGAGGAGCATAAAAATCCTGATAATAATCTTGATTTCCTTGAAAATGAGGAAAATATAAAACGGACATTACCATTGGAAACAATCATTTATATCACATCGGAACAGGTAAGTAATCTAGTAATTATAATTCCATGATTTTAAAATGAATTGAATTTTTACATTTAGTTTGCTTTTGTGTACAGTTGAAGAAAATCAATCTAGAGAATATTGAAAATACTAAGAATCATATTTCACAAGAGCATTTATGTGACACAAATGAAAAAATCCCATTAATTGATCAGTTGAATGTTTCTGAGAAACAAGTACCTGCTAATGAAGCAACTCAAAATATATTGTATGTGTGCCAAATGAATGAATCTGTTTTGAAAAACAGACTGAGCACCAAATACTTGAATAGTCATGAGTATTTGTCATGTGCACAAACATTTGAATCAGATGTACAGAAGTCAGAGGTAGTGTCGAATTATAACACTCTGACGAATTTTTCTGTAAACGTTACCGATATGTTCCAAAAAATAGATTTATCGGAGTCACCTATTAACGAGCATGGTAAGCTTGATTTGAATATTCAAAATAATCAAGAAATAAATTCAGTACAAAATGAAAAAGTTGAAGAAGATTCGGACGATGTAAATAATACTACAAATCAGGAAGAACCAATGTTACGTTTAGTACAGATGGAAACAGGGGAACAATTTTATGAATTTCTAATTAACAATTTAGTAGAAAAATTACCAAACATACAGCTCGTAAAAACTTCTGAGAATAAAGATGAAAGTACAAACATTTCTGAGAATACAACAAATACATGTTTAAATGATAAAAACGTTAATGAAGACATTCAACGCGAACAGAATATAAGAGATGATATAGAAAATCACCTGAATTATACACAATATGAGTTACAAGGCGAAGAAAAACATTTTGTTCCAAATCAGATTTTGTTGGATTCACAGACTGATTTCGATAAATACGTTGAAACAAATTTTGAAGTCTTTGGAAGATTAAATTACGATGATAGCTCGGAGAGATTTCTTGAGTTTGTGGAAAATGCAGAAATTGAAAATCAAAATTCAGAACTTTTGGAATGTAAAGAGGGTGACCAACTTTTACAATTTCAAAGTTTCAATCAAATTGATTCTATGCAAGAAAATAAAAAGAATGACGCAATTAATGACAGTGAACAGATTCTTTTAACTCCTCTAAATGAAGATACACACTGTGAAGTTAATACAAATAATAATCAAATTGTTAATGAAGATGAAAGACAGGTGCAAGTTGAGAATACTATCAATAATGATAAAAAAGAGGGTCCACAAGAAGATTCAAAGAATTCGAAAGCATATTTATTAAAATTTCAATGCACAGTATGTGAGAAATCATTTTCAACCAGTTACAACTACAAACAACACATAGGCACACATTTTGCAGATCAGCAGAAGTTTCACTGTAAAGAATGTAACATGTCCTTTGCTTGGAAGTCAACATTAAATAAACACATTGCTAGTAACCATAGACCAGATGGTCCACAGAAGTTTGCATGCGATATGTGTCAGAAAATTTACAATACTTCCTCACAAGTAAATGTAAGTATACTAACTCTTGAGGATATTTTTAAATTTGTTCCTAAACAAATTTTTGTTCCTATAGGAACATGTAAAACGTGATCACCTAAAACAGAGGAATCATGTGTGTTCTCATTGTGGTAAATCGTTTTTTAAAAAGTATGACTTAAAAATACATAATAGAATTCATACAAATGAAAGGCCGTATGTCTGTCGTGCCTGTGGAAAAAGATTTCATCACCGAAGTCATATAATACGCCACGAACGTATACATTTTTAAGAAAATGACATATTGTTCCCTCGAGGTTTTAGAAGACAAGTGAAGAATATTTATAAATGAAAGCATTATGAGTTTACATTGTACAGAGTGTAAAACTAAATGGATTAAAAGTTCTATTTTTTTATACAGTAATGATTTTCATTAATTCTGTTTTAAAAATTAATGACTTCATCTACAGCAGAAATTAATTAGTTCGTTATTAGCTCTACACCCTGTAGTATATGCTAAACATTATAATGTAATTTATATGATAAATAATTTTTCCTGAATATTTTTTTTAGCGAATTATTATTTTTTAATAAAAAGAAGCAATAAATGATAAAACTATGTTAAATTTCCCTGTTTTCCATTACAAATTACTATAGTGCATCGATGAACGGGCAAGAGTGGTACTATAGATAAGTATTACAGCATAGCAGTATGATGGCACTTGGCAGTAAGTCCTAGGCTTCAATATGGTCGACAGCATGTGTGACGACGTGGTGAATAACGTACAAAACTTGAATTTGAAGGAAGAAAAGGCACGAAAACGGTTTTAATTTGATACAACTTTTATCATTTTTATTTTTACATTCTAAATATGATGGCGAATTTTCGTATTTGCAGTTCTAGAAACTTGTATAATGTTTCTAAGCGGCCACATGCTTCTTGGGTTGGTTATATATTTAGTGTATTGTCACTCGTACACTTTTTCACAATATCTTATGACAAAGTTTTTTGTTTATCTGTCTGTTGAAAAAATGTTATAAAATCATATGATTTAACTTATGCTATAAAAATAACCGCTCTATACTGGCAGAATCAATAATCTGATGTAATCTGAACATTTTGTTTCTGATTAATGTTATCACATCGTTTAATGTGTTAACTTAGCATTGTATAAGAACAGGAATGTCGTGGAAATTTTTAATATGCGGTTTTTTTTTCTTTCAAATTTAGGCGAAACCGAAAAAAAAGAAGAATACTATTATTGATGAAAAAACAGTTTCGGAATTAAATCCTTGGCCTAATTACATACAGGTATATCATGCTGTTTGTATTAAATAATATGTGAATTAGTTAGGAAAAAACAAATTTCATGTTTATTATTTATTCTTTTTTTTTCTGAACGATAACACATATTTTTAGGACCGTATTGCATTATGGGATAAACTGAAAGCAGATTATGAAGCACAGTTAGCTACAAAGCCAGTTACTGATATTAAAATAACTCTTCCTGATGGAAAAGAAGTTATTGGTCAATCTTGGCGCACAACACCATATGAAATTGCAAGGAACATTAGTCAGGGTCTAGCTGATAATACTGTTATTGCAAAAGTTAATAATGAACTGTGGGATTTGGATAGACCCTTGGAGTCTGATTGCAAACTTGAACTTCTTAAATTTGACCATCCAGATGGTCAACAAGTGTTTTGGCATTCTAGTGCACATATTTTGGGTGAAGCTATGGAAAGAATATATGGTGGTTGTTTATGCTATGGTCCACCTATTGAGAATGGATTCTATTATGATATGTATTTAAGGGATAAAGGAATATCAAATCTAGACTTTCCATTCTTGGAGAGTCTTTACAAAACTATAGTTAAAGAGAAACAGTCGTTTGAGAGATTAGAAATGACAAAGGAAGATCTTTTGGAGATGTTTAAATACAATGAATTTAAAGTTCGTATTATCAATGAAAAAATAAATACGCCTACCACTACAGTATACAGGTGTGGGCCATTGATTGATTTATGTAGAGGACCGCATATTAGACACACTGGAAAAGTGAAAGCTATTAAAGTCACGAAAAATTCTTCCACTTATTGGGAAGGAAATGCTAATGCAGAATCTCTACAGAGAGTTTACGGTATCAGTTTTCCAGATACAAAACAGCTGAAAGAATGGGAGAAGTTTCAAGAAGAAGCTGCTAAACGAGATCATAGAAAAGTAGGAAGAGAACAGGAACTATATTTCTTTCATGAACTTTCTCCAGGATCATGTTTCTTTCAACCACGCGGGGCACATATTTATAACACTTTGGTTGAGTTCATTCGTTCTGAATACAGAAAGAGGGGTTTTCAAGAAGTTGTTACACCTAATATTTATAACAGTAAATTATGGCAAACGTCTGGGCACTGGATGCATTATGCTGAGCACATGTTTTCCTTTGATGTTGAAAAAGAAACTTTTGCACTTAAACCAATGAATTGTCCTGGTCATTGCTTGATCTTCGACGTTCGTAACAGATCTTGGCGTGAATTGCCGTTAAGAATGGCTGATTTTGGCGTGTTACATAGAAATGAATTATCTGGCGCATTAACTGGATTGACCCGAGTCAGGCGTTTCCAACAGGATGATGCGCATATATTTTGTTCAGCAGATCAAATTAAAGATGAAATGATCGGTGCATTGGATTTCTTACGCCACGTATATTCCGTTTTTGGCTTCACATTCAATTTATGTTTGTCTACGAGACCTGAAAAATATTTAGGTGACTTAGCTATGTGGGATCAGGCCGAAAAAGCGTTGGCAGAAAGTTTAGATGCATTTGGAGAACCATGGACACTTAATCCCGAAGATGGGGCATTTTATGGTCCAAAAATTGATATCACAATTATGGATGCATTGAAGAGACCACACCAATGTGCAACCATTCAGTTGGACTTCCAGTTACCAATTAGATTTAATTTGTCTTATGTTAAGTAAGTGAAGAGAGATTAAATATTGTATTATTTCGAAATCAAGTTTAAACTAATGATTAAACATCGTGAAATTTCAGCGAAACTGGAGAGAAAACAAGACCTGTAATCATACACAGAGCTATTTTAGGCTCTGTAGAAAGAATGATTGCAATTTTAACTGAATCCTATGCTGGAAAATGGCCATTCTGGTTATCTCCGCGACAAGCAATGGTCATTCCAGTAGCTTCTCAATTTGATGAGTATGCCTTCCAAGTAAAAGATAAACTTTGGGATGCTGGATTCATGGTGGAAGTTGATACAGATGCAAGTGATACTTTGAATAAAAAAGTACGAAACGCCCAACTTGCACAGTTCAACTTCATCCTTGGTAATGAAAAGCATAATAAATTTGATATATTATGTAACAAAACAACAGAATATGTAGCTTATACGAAAATGTGTTTTTAGTTGTCGGGGAAAAAGAAGTGAAAGCTGGCACGGTTAATGTTAGAACCAGGGACAATGTGGTACATGGAGAAGTCGCCGTAACCGATTTAATTCAAAAATTCAAATTATTCAAAGAAAGAAAGGATAAAAATTGTGAGGAAAAGTTTTAGACAAATTCTCCAAACAAAGGAAATATTTATTTATTTTGTAGGCAATAATTCCGACGTTTCTAGTTATAGCACAAAACCGATCAAATATAAAATAACATTTTGCCAATATATTAAAATAATGCACACGAACCATTAAAATAATAATGTCACGCTACGGAAATCCTGTGTCTAATGAAATCATAAAAAAAAAGTAGGGTAGCTCTTTTATGTAACATTTTGCATTTAATCCCTTTTTGAGGAATTTGCTATACAATAAAAAATAGAGATACGAGCTCAGAAATCATTTTTACATTGCAGTTTATAAAATTATGCATTTATATATACAGATGTGTTGTATTTCATTATACAATAATGGAATATAAAAATGCTGCATAGTAGACATAGTGTATTTTACATTTTTTTCCTAAACATTTTTTTCAAAAGGCTTATCTGTAATTGCTACTTCCATGAATTACGTCCATCTCTTTGTAATAGAAACATTGAATGTATATTGTAACTTGAAATGTTCATCTGAACGGCTGTGCTCCATAATTTATTGCAGATACTGGTAATATGCATGTTGCCTGTATCTGCGTTTAATATCCTTTCAGAATAAACTGTTGTTACAAATTATACCTACTACAATTGCGCGAACAGAAATGTTTGCCTTCTGAATTTTGTCTAGCAACCGTTACAATAAAACAGGATGTTCTGATGAAATAGCCTTCGATTCGTTCCAAATTGGCAAAATAATTTACTCTTACACGACTGCATTACTAATTTACATAACAGTCAGTTTTCATAGACGAATAAACAAGTTTTAACAAATTTAATTAGTGTTAAATTCAATTTCGCGCGCTTGCGCAAACGGCAACGCCAGTAACGGTTGTATAATTGTCTGTTTTAACATTTCTTATTTTACATATCGTAACGTTATAATATATTTAATCAGTTCGTAAAGTACGCCATTTAATTTATAATTAAATAGGATCAAATATTCTTTTCCTTACTGAAATACATACTAATAGAGAATACATATTCGTTGCCGGGCATGCTTTGTCCGATAAGGTACGCATGCGTCGGTTTTCTGATCTTTTCCGGGAAGACGAGTGAGCGGTAAGCAGGAGTTGGACGTGTACTGTTTGGTTGTTATAAAATGACAGCCATTACAATTTCACCAGCTTCCCATGGTATTATTCAAGTTATAAACGAAAGTAATTTGTGTAAAATTGAGAGGTACGTGTTGGAGTCACGATATTTTGTAAATTTTTACTCATTAGGCTTAGAGCATTGACATAGCTACTATCGATTTTTTGCAGCTACCTCAATGACACCGCGTACAGGGAATCCATTGAAAATGCTTCCACTTATAATAGCCGATTATGCAGGGAACGACGGCTACGTATGCCTTTCCTCGATTCACAGACAGGTATCCTTTATTAGGATTCTTGTACAGCACCTTCGTAGGGTGTGATCGTTATGTTGTATAATACTGTAATTAGCATATCTTTTTGGTTTGCACATCAACAGTAACTTTTTGCTATTCGTACCAGGCAAGTTTGTGGTTCATGTGTTAACACACTGTTGAGCTGTCGACTGAAATTTATTGTTGTGAACGCTTCTGTAAACAATCAATTGTCTAAAAATCGATAGTTAATATTAGCGTGAAATTACAGGTGTAGCACAAAATCATTCAGCACTGTTTATGTCGGCAAGAGAAAGATTGCCAGGCTTGTTACACGGTCAAATATATACATATCCTAGCAAAAGATGGAGGAAAAAACGGCGCCAGTATTTAATGCATTATTTGCATCCAAAGAGAGGTCCACGGGGAGATCCAGAAGATGGTGTAGAAGGTGTAGAAACTATAACACATGTAAATGATGATAGCAAAGAATCTGTTGCTCTTAAAGGTAGGTAGATTTATTGTTTATATATGTATGTTAACAAATAAAGTTGTATACATTATATTTAATGTAATAATAACTTGTTACAGAGGAACACAGTAAAGATGCTTGGTACTATGATGAACAGGACATGTTAGATATGGACACATACGAGGAACCTGATCCTGAAAGTGACTATGATTATGAAGAAAGTTACAGCAGTAAAAGGAAACGAAGAAAACCTCGTGGAGGTGGTCATCATCCTGCACGAAATCACCCACCTTCCACAGATAGTCCAGGGACCAAACGTACAAAGGTAACTAATGTATTTTATAAGAATATTTGAAAATTATACAAGAACAGAAATAATACGAAACATTTGATTTAAGTCTCGGACGGCGGTGCCTGGGTCTATGTTGATCCCAGTTTTCAAAAGCTTTGCCTTCTTCCTCAGTTAGTGTAGCATAGGTGGACCCAGGTATTGCTGGTTGCGTAGTCGTAGACACGACCACCTTCCGAGGATTAATTTGCATATTTTTCAGTTTAGTTCTTTGACTAAAGTTTGTTATAAACATTTATTAAATAGGGTGGGGGACGTGGGCGCAAAAAAAGCAACTATGACGCTGTTGACACTGATAAGCCATTCGTTTGTGACCGTAAGTTTAATCATAGATACAACTACAAATGACCACTTCCTGTTACTAGTTTCACTATGAATATTATTATTAGTTCTATCAGTTGTTATTTCGAATAAGTGAACAAGTGCATTGCGTTAGAAGATTTGTTAATTTCATTAAATAACTATATTTTTATGATGCCTACGTATTATTTCACGAGATACGTAACGGTTACTATATAATATAAAATAATATGAAAGCACGAAATAAATTATTGAAGACTAGTCTTGGTTACCGCATAATTTTACACTGGGGATGGTGACTGAACTCGTAATGAACTTTATAACGGGGAAAGGTGTCCTCTAGACGTAATAGTAATTTCATATTGACTTAATACTCTCTGCTCAGTAAAATTGATCAGTATCTGTATTGACTGCTGTTTTCCTTCAAGTTAATGAATTGCAGTACATTATAGGATACTCCAATCCTTGTCATATAATTTGTGTTTGTGTCAAACCTTGTGCTCCATTTCTTTTTTCCTATTTATTGAGGTATGAATAGACATGACATGGTTCTGAATGAAAGGATAAGATTAATCACGCGTATTTCAGTACTCCAAAAGTTGCGCGCAAAAAGAGTATGCAGTGCGTGTAAACGTTAATTAGGTCTTATAAAATTGTATACTGTATCGTTTTACACGACGATAATTACATTCTTACATAGATTAAATTCTCGTGTACCGTTATTCGCTTATTGTATTACATCCGAGAGAACTGTTCCCTGTGTTTAGTCGCGCAGTACTTCACTTGCTACAATACGTAAAATTCTACTCACAGAAATAGATAGATTCGCGTTTGCTCAAACCTTGAAGGAGTATAATAGTCATTACTAATTTGATCGTACATTTTCCGACAAGAAGTCTGTAAAAAAAAATTAACTCGAATGTGCCTGCAATCTGTTTACTTCTTGAAACCACTCCTGTTAGATTAGCAGAAAATCTAAAGGTATTTGGTCACGACTAGTAGGCCTTGATTCTAAACGTAATACTTACATATCACAATCGGTTCACGATCAGGCTTGCAAGATCGGCCAAATATCTTCGGACATATACTACCTGCCAATAACAGAGCAAGAATGTACTGGCTCACACTGTAGCGAGCTCATTCTGTAGGAGTATACAAGCATCAAGCCTTGCATCGTATTAGTTTTGCTTCTTGGGCTGGAACTCCTTCACTGCTTGTCCACATATAGATTCGTAGGTGGATAGGGATATGTACTGGTACGGAAGGTGTGCAAATGCTGTCCTCGACCCATAAGCTTCTCTCCTGGAATCCTTTAACCGCCATGTTCTTCAAAGTAGATCCAGTAGACGTTTAGCATTTGGCGTGTATGAAAGCAGACTTGTTTGCGCTTTCGACGAAACATTATACGAGATTTCACGGGACATTTAGTTTTGACATGGCGGTTAGACGGGCTACACCCTCCCAATCGTCCAACGAACTCGTCAACCAAGATTTCTCTCATCATGGACGTTGCATTGGATGGTTTGTGGGAAAACAGTATTTGCACTTTTGCAGTATGCAGCGCACGGTATAAAACCAGACCTGGTCTGGTCTACCATTACGGTCATTCCCACTCTACTTCCTCCGGTGATCCTGCTAAGGAACTAAGTCCCAGTCCTGCCGAAGTTGAACCTAGGAGCGTTGCAGACACCGCTGCTTCGAACCAGCCAGGTTGGAGCCAAACTCAGCTCAGTTTTCTCACGTTCCTTTATGCCCGTCGCAACCGTCGATTTTCCAGTTATTCCGCCCTATTTTCACCTGGTATCCTCATCATTGTTCCGACACTTCCATTCATGCAACTGTGTTCATCCAGACCATTTTTCTCCAAAACTTGATGGAACTAAGTATATTTTCTTTAAATGTGTTGCAAATGCATGCATTGCAAATAAACGTAGCGTGATATTTTGTGTTCACTTTGTCCGTGTTCCTTTTCTATCTATTAGATTCTATTGCACAACTTTTATACTGCGAGTATCATACGGAGAAAGCATTATTAAGCCAGTATGATACGGTTCTGTTATATTAGTGTGTGTGTACTACCTATACCCAGAAGATATCTTGTGCTCTAAATTTCAATCTTTATTTTTTTTCGATACATACTTATATAAGACTGATTTCGACGAAAGGAGAAACGCGGCAATTATTTCGAATGTTTTGCAATAGCATGCTTCTGCAATCGCGTCTTGAGAGTGTTTTATCGTATGTTCACAAGAGGCGTGATCCCGTTCGAGCAATTTCGAACGCTAGAGTTCTTGGGCGCAGCCTCTTCCGAGTGTTTGGTATGTGTGTGTATTTTTTGATAATGGTTATTCAATATCCTTTTTGCAGCATGACGAGTTTGATCTGATTATTTTTAAAAAATGTGTACTCTAAAGGCGTTGGCAGCATCTTTTTTTTTCCGTTTGCTCGTTCTTTTTTTTACGCTTTGAACATCCTAGAGCGATTTTGGCTTCGTTTGTTTCTCTCGATGAGCGCCTGCAGCTTCACTAAAGATACCCATATGCCGAAAATTGTTCTTCGTAGTGCCGCAAAAGTAGTGTTCTCGCGTTTGCGCCGCTGTCCTGTCTGATCTTGGAACGGATACATCGACGTTGTATCGTTGGAATTGCTCTTGGTGATGGAATGCATCGATTGACGTAATTTGTGCACCTTGTTACGATTCTACATATAGTTATATACATATACATTTATATATATACATATTATTTGACTTTTCTTTCCTGATTGTTGTGCCAGTTTCTTTCTTTTTTGTAAAAAAAAAAAACAAAAAACTGTGACGTTTCGAATAATCGATTCCGGTTAGGCCTAGAATCTTGCGAATACGGGTAAGTGATCACCTCCTCGATAAATTCTTCGACATCACCTAGAAATTCTTTAACCTGTTTCATTTTCTGTAGTTACAGAATCAATTGGCTACCGGGATGGTATTACCTACCCCGCTGAGATTCATGATAGGTGTGTCCGTTTCGCGGGGAACCAAGTTTGTGAAGGTTAAACGATCCAATAAGTATAATCTCTATGCAATCGTAACATTCTTAAACGCTATAGAAACTGTCGAAGAATGTCGAGGTTGGCGGTCTCCGTTTCCTGCCTCGAGATATAACCGAATCGATTATTGCTGGGCATCGTCACAGTATTGAACTCTAAAATTCATTGTCTCTAAGCCAGTGTGCATGGTCAATAGCTTGTGACGCAAAGCGCAACTGGGTATGTGGTCGGTTTGTGATCAGGTGGTACACGTCGGGGTCGTCAGAATGCAAGCTCATCGAGTACTTCGAGCCCCTCTCCCGCAGCACCTACCGCGTCTGCTGCGGGAGCGTCCACGCAGCCGCAGCCGCAGTCCTCCCAGCCGTCCCAGCAACCGGCGGCGCAGCAGGCACAACCGCAACAGCCGTCCCAGCAGCAACAGCAGCAGCCGCAACCACAGCAACAACAACCACCAATACCTGCTGCTCAGACGACGACCGCGCCCTCATCGCCAACGATACCATCGACGAAGGAGGAACACCTGCCGGCTGTATCGTCCCCTGGGACCGCTGTGCCCTCGCCCTCCTCGGTGAGAACGGAGGGCCCACCTACCCCCGGGACTAACGAAAAAAAAGCTGGCAAGTCCGCGCAACCCTCCCCGTACTGCGACTTCTGTCTGGGCGACGCTAGGGAAAATAAAAAGACCGGCGGCTCCGAGGAGTTGGTCTCGTGCAGTGATTGCGGTCGCTCAGGTAAGCCAGAGGAAAAGATCAAGCGCAAGTATACACGAAGAACGAATCACAATTAATGCAGGGTGGTGTGTGTATATCCGCCGATATATAATCGGGTAATCCGCGTGTCTCGTTCGTCGACTCGAATTCTCCGAGTCGGAGGGATTGCTTCCTTACTTCCGGTGTGGTCTGTATGTGTATCGCCGGCCATGTATACGGGGACAACCTCTGTACGAATTCGATGGACATGGTTTCCCACAATTTGGAAATCACTGCTCTCTGTGCTCGTTTACTTTTGTTTGTCGCTGTATTGGGACTGATGTAAGTACCACGATTCACTTCTTCCATCCTTTGCGCGTTGTATTCCATAATATGCCTCCGAATAGGAGGGTACATTAGCTCGAGATCCGAAGGCGCAGGCACGTTCGACTGACGTAGTTTAATAGTGAGTTTGATCCATAGGAGATATTTACAGATTAACCCATCACAAGGCTCGTGCTCTTGGACGAGTGAGCAACCAGTTGTTGGTCGTGCTTGTTGTCGAGAATGGGACTCTGGAATAAAGTTCAAGTAGATGAGTGGGCTTCCTTATTGTGTTGTTTTTCGGAAATTTCTATGTGTAACGGATATACGTTTCTGGATATCTTAACCTTCCAGGTAAAATGTATCGTACATAAAATTATTTAACAATAACTTTATAAGGAAACGTGTACCTACTGACGTGTATTTGCTAGAACTTTCTCCCACAGAATTGCATTCTTTGACGGATCCTGTGCTAATGTCCTTATTTTCGGAGATTCGTTCAATTAGTGTTAGAGGATAGTTAGTGGATTGTTTTCCCGATGAATTGGTTAACATACGTAGAGGGCCGTATCGCCGTTTTCAATATCCCCTGCTATTCCACCATTTCCGTGTTAGGTGATTGTCTTTCTAAAATTGTAATTGCTTCCATGTATAAAACGTATCTTATCGTTTATTCAGTTTAATCATTGTAGATTTTCCATGTATTATATGCACAGGATTTATCAAGACACTAGACCCTCTCTCCATTTTGCTAATGCATGCATAGTACCAGTTTGGAGAAATTCCAGAAGGCGGTCTAGTAAAGAGGTATTGCTATACTTTCCCGATTGAAACCGACGAAGATGTTGCCTTCCCAGGAATGAGTCTCAAGTTTTGATCCGTTTAATCAGAACATATTTATCCATTGCTCTTCCATATCCAGTTAATTGCATTTTCTTGCTCGCTTGACCCCTCTCTTCTTATCTGTTAATTTTTTAACTCCTCCACGTGGAGTTCTTTTGTTGAAATAAACGAATCGTCAGCAACATGATCAACAAGCAAAATATTAATGATTGTGTTTTCCAGATTCTATGATTTTCTTTTGGAACAATTGTCTCACTCGAGTTGGCGTATATACTTACTTCAGTCCCTCTCCCCCAGGAAACAGGAGAAAATACGGGAAATCTTTGCAATTTACCGTCCTCCTCGTATACATGGTCGGTAGAGTAGAAGCTTTTTGTTTGTCACTCCTGTGTCTCCTTTACGATCCGCGGCTCGTGTTCATACGGTAAGGAATCGAAACAATCGGCACCCACCCGTTCGTTGTTCCCTCGAGATTACGGGTGATTTATTATTAACGATTTGTTGTCGTTGAACTGTTCGTCGTTGGGGCACGTTTAACGGTGTATACACGTGTTCCGAACGCCCGAGGCTACGATCGTTCCGTTTCTGAATTGTTATCGATTCGGCGTCGTCGTAACGCATCGAGATATTTTTCATACCGACCGCGACGTATCGTGATGGAACGAAAAGAGGAAAGGGGGAGATAAGTAAAACGAGAACGAGGAAAGAAATACTATTTTTGGGTTGAATAGCGACGATAAGCCTAGTTGCTGTGTGACATACGTTCGAAACCATCGTTATGGGTAATTCATGTGTGCAATAATTAGGGGATCTGCACGGTTCAGGCGAGAGACGAGAAAATGATATGGTTACGAGCTTTACATACACTAGTCAAGGCACGAAAAAGCAAAAACATCAGTTTGTCAATGGTGCAACTTGTCGCATCTGAGCGATAGGAATTTTCGATAATTCCTTTGCTGCTGCACGGCTCAACTGTGATTTATTGTAATTCCGTGATTAGTTTTTAAGGGGACAAATTTTTACGGGGCAAAAAGAGAGTAATGTACAAAAAAAAAAAGAAAGAAAAGAGAACAAATTCAACACGGAAACACGAATCTCGTTACGGACATTCGAAACAAGACACGAAACGAACGTCGTCGACATAAACAATCTATCTATTTACGAAGTTAGATGAATATTCTGAAGGAACGGAAAGAAACGTGCACGAGATTCCGGGTAAATTTTCTAAACGCAAAAAAAAAAAAATGAAATTCCTGTTGCACAGTATCACTAGAGCACATATTGAAGAAGATGTGTTTGTATTCTCTGTTTGACTACAGTGTAATCGCGTTCTTACGTTGTTGTGTTGCAAAATCAAATCAAAACAAAAAAAAAAAAGACAATGTGGAAAGGAGAGAAAAGGAAGAAAAGAAACGAAAAAGAGAAAGATGCTTGCCGCGAAGTAATCGTTCTATAATCGAGAAGTTTTAAGAGAGCTTAAACAAAAACGATACGATATAGACTTTATAATTATATTATTCAGCACAGTCGTGAATCGTTTTAACGAGAGCAACATATTTATATATAGTAGGGCGGGAAAGAACCATGTTTTGTTTTTTTTTTTTTTTATATTTCTACGTTTCTAGAATCATGTAAATATTTTCTTTCTTGCTTGCGTTCTATTTACTGATCTGCAATACACCTAAGAGCGCAGCACATATAACGCTAGCTAAAAGTATTACCGTTCGGATACTCGTTGCAAAGTGAGACTCGGTTTTTGCAGTACGGTACAGGTTCGTCGTAATTCACACTTCCATCGTTCTCTTCTCCGTTACGTGTTGCATTTAAGGGACATATTACGCTCGCGATCGAGGCACAAATATTTTTTCGTAAACTGCGTCTTCTGTAACAACGGAACACCGGGGTGGATGAACGAGTTCTCGATCGAGGCATCCCTTTACGTGAGATACGATCTTTCGCACAAATCCTGCAGCTTCTAAAAAAAAAGAAAATTAACGTAAAATATTGGGTTGCTGCTAGGAGTATTACCTACTTGCATTTAACAAAAAAGTATTTAACTTTTTTCACAACTGATTTTAGAGATAACGTTAAATTTTTACTAAATTCTGGAAAATGAAATTTCGTTTTTCGAAACCTTTGATATACTCAGTCCTTAACATGTTACCGTGTGTGTGTGTTTTCAAAATGTGTCGATGGTATCGTTGCTTACCATGCATTTACATCACCGGAAACATCATCGCGGTGAATGAGAATTTCAACGAAACCGGTTCCATTATTGATCGAAACATTTCCGTACTATGATTTACGAACGATAACTTAAGACGGGCCATCGCTGTAATTAAGGATTTTCCAATTTTCGGCTTCACAACACGGGGAAAATTATGTTTTTTATTACAATAAACTCGAGCAGCAATCCAACGCATCCCGGCAAACGACTCGACTCTCCGGCGTACGGTGTTCCGACGTTCCTCGACGAATGATCGTGGGGTTCATTTGAAATTCCGATGAAAGCATTAATTCGCCGCGTGTTCGTTTCCATCCAGTTATTCTGTTTACGCACATTCCACCGAACCTGCTGCTCTTAAAACCTTCCGTTTCGTTCTGGGCATTAATCGTTTTCGTCGTGTCGCATTTATAGCGTGTTCGTAATTTTTGCTACTTGGTGATCGTCTGATCGAATAACGACGGCATAATATTTATTGCATATTTAATGGAACAAGACGTGGAAAGATCAGGGAGGGAAAGTGAGAGAGGGAGAGAGAGGAGAACGGGAGAATTTTCTCTACGTGAGAAATATAAAACCGATCAGCGAGGAACGCGCACACAATGTACAGGGTGGCCAAAAACTCACTAGACCATTTTAAAATATAATAACTTTTTAGGAAGACACCGTCACTGTCAAGAACAAAATGACGGCCATTTGAAATCTACAAAACTAATTACAAATAATTTCCAAGAAGTATATTTATTGTTTATAAAAGCATAAATGTGAATTTTTAATACATAAAAGAGTTATTCTATTTTTAAATGGTCTAGTGACTTTTGGACCAGCCTGTAGGAGTACGGTAGAAGGACGTTCTTTTCGATTGTGTTTCATTCGAGTTTGCCACGATATCGACTCCGAGTCGAGGAAGACGGATGTAATAATCTTGTATCTTCCGTTTTAGTCGATGAATCGACAATAGCTTAGTTTTGTACAAGCTTTGATACTCGTACAAGATATCGTTCGAATAGAATGGAAACGAGAGTTAACCGCGCATTCGAGCGTTTTTAATGCTTGTAAACGATACCTTACGAGTTTGGTGGCATTGTAGCAGGGAACGATCGTATTGTTTTCACTCCGTGGGGTACGTTCGCGTTCGCTTCTCGGTTTGCTCCGATCATCTTTTTTTTTTCCTTCTATTGCTAACCGTTAACGTATTATCATAGATTTATGGATACGAGATGTTGTAACTCGTACGTACTCGATAATTTTCCCCCTCGTTGTATTGCCTTTACGACCCCCTCCCCCCCCCCCCCCACCAACGTGTAACAAGTGACGCGATGATATAGACGATTTTTATTTCAGTTCCGACAGTTTTCTATATGGTCCTTTAGTGTTACATTTTAATTCTGTACCCCTCAGTCGTCGTTTCGATTTGCTTTTTTATGTTCTCTCTCTCTCTCTCTCTCCCTCTCCCCCCTCTCTTTTTACGACAAGAGAAAGAAATAATGTTTCGTGTTATTACCGCATAACTCTTTATAATTTAACACACCCGGTAGCGACAGAGTAATATCTCGATACTCGTATAATTACCCGTAAGGAAAACTCACATGGTATAGAAAATCAAAAAGCGAGAGAGAGAGAAAGAAAGAGGGCAGCGCGAGAGAAAGAAGAAAAGAAAGGAGAAAAAAATACGAAAGCATGCAAATAGTTCCTCCTTGTTATATAAAATCGAAGACTTGTTATTAGGCAATTTTTAATTAAGCAATACCCATGAGGCTTACAAATCTAGTATTTAAGTAACGCTAGTTATATATAAATATATATATTATATATATATTATATATATATATATATCAAATGTGATACGTTATGAGTTGTGTGTATGTGTAGGAGAAATGAGGGGATGAAAGAGAGAGATTGATGAAGAGGGTGAACGGGATGTGTGAAAGATGAACACGTGTGTGATTAAAATAGAGAGAGAGAGAGAGTGTGCTGGTCCGCGACGTTTATATTGTGCTGCGCAAGAAAGAACGTGAACTATTCCAAGGTACGCACCGCTATTACTTTACCACCTTACTATTCCAAATAAAATAACAATATGTTCAAGAGGTGACATCAAAAGAATCGCAGATATCATGAAATAAAGCATTCTGTGCGGAAACATAACAAAACGTTATCATTATTCCGGACGTTTTTAGTGCTGAGGAAGGGTGAAAGTCATAATATGCATAATATCAATCCTGATCGCACGCGTTTGAAAAGAAAAAAACAAGTAAAAGACCAAACGAATGACCGTTTTAATTCAGAAAGCGAGTCACTTTGATACGAGCGAAAAAAAAAAATAGTAAATTTGACGAAAAAAAATAATAGAAACGAGATAGCTTGGAGTTCACTGTTCTTCGGCACAAGATAAATGTCCTAGCACCTTTCTACTCGTCCAAAGATACTATCCTGCTCCGTCCCCATATGCTTGTTCCATGACCTGCGTACGTTCTTGTTATAGGGCATCCGACTTGTTTGCAATTCACAGCGAACATGATCGTTTCTGTTCGCAAGTACAGGTGGCAGTGTATCGAATGCAAATGCTGTTCCATTTGTGGCACCTCTGACAATGATGTGAGTATTTACCATTATTTTTCGGGATCACCCAATTACAGAAGAACAAAACGTCTCACGTACCGTTGCTCCAACAATTTGGATTTACTTAAGTATTTTTTATCCTTTCATTTTTTTTATTAACTTCCGTATTATTTATTTGTTAATATCATTATTACATTTGGAACGAAGTTATATGGTTCCGCAGGGTCGCTGAAGAGTCCCCCCCGCCACGATTCAGAAGCACACCCAGAATAATTATTATTTTTTTTATTTATTTATTATTAAGGGGGCCAAATTAGTTGAAGCAAGTTGTACGTGAGACACTTTACCTCAATTGGTACTGAAATTACGCTTATCGGCGAGCTATTGTTAAGTATAGAGGTTTTCCGGTTTAAGCTCCTACCATTGATTACAATATTACCGCGAGTTTCTCATATATTTTACTAAGCGGGAACCAAGATATTAAACTCTTGTCCGAGAAAAGATAAAGCAATAAAGTACATTAAGAACCGATCGCGACAATCTACACGCTTTAGGCCACGTTGTTGGAAGCTAATTAATTGTTTCGCGAACTAAACTAGGATCAGCTGCTGTTCTGTGACGACTGTGATCGTGGATACCACATGTATTGTCTGTCTCCACCTCTTGCATCTCCTCCCGAGGGCTCCTGGTCTTGCCGTCTGTGCATAGCAGAATTTCATCGCCGTGATTAAAAGTCTCTGTCTCGTAGATAAGTCACGGATTTTTACGTATTTGCTGTGGTGCAGCCGGCCGTTCCCGAATTAGGAGAGTATTCAGAAAGCTCACTTTCCTTTTATAGTATTAACGTAGAGACGCGGGTGATACTTCCGATTTGTCGATGGAATATTTCTCGTTGGCAAGGAACGTTCGTTACAAAGTTGTGGCAGCATTAAACGATTTTAATAATCCTTTCCTTTTTATATTTTCTTTTCGTTATTTTAAGTTGAAGTTAATAAGACACGAAACGTTACGAAGTATTCCTAGTATATGCTGCGTTAGATTATCTCAGGCACTGGTGATCTCAGAAAACTAAAAGTATAAATAATTGCGTATTATAATTTTAACGAACTAGCGTTTACCCATAGTTGTATAAAAGTGTACCGTTAATGGTCCTGTCTTAATATCTCGATGGAAATGAAAAGCAAGACAGGTGAACAGTCTCTTTAAGGTCATTGTTAAAAAGTTCATGGAAACTGTTAGTAGTACCCTTAATACCAAGACTCCGGCAATGGATTACGGTTGTATGATCGCAATTTTCATTGAAATGTGAAAAAAATATATTTTTTATTCGTTTTTAGACAGACACGTAATATCTATAGAGATATTACTATCGTAGAAATTCTAGAGTTAGTTTGAGAATTGAAAATATAATGATATACTCTCCTAGTTCTAGGCCAAATTTTTCTTTTAGCCATTGACATTCGAAGTTCGGTTGCTTTTTACTGTTTCAAGATTGCTTACATTCAAACGAATTTCGAGATCTCAAATTTTCATAAACTCTTAGCTCCTCGCTATTGACTTAGCCCAAATCAAGTTTTATGAAAGAAGCAAAAATATGAAAAAATTGATATTCTAGGAAGACATGATATTAATAGTATCTGTTTCATAAATAGTGATAAATAGGACACTGTCTATTTATCTGTACGTATCATGATACTAAAGCTTTTACATTTAATGACACAGCCATTAGTAGCAGTATAGCTATGACATACAAAACTTGCAGTACTGCAGAAATTTATATTCTATATTCCCTTTATTGTTAGTTCAGTATTTTTATATTTTATATATCGAATGTACTTAATTTAAGATACTGTGGTGATATTTGGTATTCATTGATGTAATTGTTTTCACGTTTTTTTTTAATTTAGTAATTTTAAGGTCACTTAATGACATGGAATTGTGTGTTAGATGTCACGAGAGTTGGTCTATAAACATTTTGAGTTCAATTTGATTAAACGTGGTGAATTTACATTTTATACTGCTTATTTTTTAACACACTGTATGCAAATTTGAATAAACATTAGTTTACATGAACTAAATCATTAACTTTAGACAGTCTTATTGTGTGCCATTAAAATTTTCTAAGTGCAGAAAGATAATACATAATAAAATAATGATAGAACTTCTTTGGGTGCTATATTTCAGGGATTAGCTTCCCTTTCGAATATTTTAGAATAACTTTGTAAGATTGGAAGTCATGTCATGACCAAGGAGAACTATATTCTATAATTGTAATGAATAATATATATTTGCGAAAGTGTAATGTAAGATATTCATAAGTAACAAACAATACTCAAGAAAATATGTTTTTTTTTTTATAAAAAGAATAGAATTAGCATAAATTTACGATTATGTGTACTCATTTTATATTGTTCCACAAATCAGCTAATATTCCAATGGAGTATTAAACAAACTTTGTTATTACATGTGTGTCACTCAATTTCTACTAAAATATCAGATAGAGGTTTACGTTGGAGGGCAGGCACAGTAGCATCCTTTGTTGGATATCCGACTGGCAGTAGTACAACAAGCTTTTCATTCTGAGGACGTCCAAGAAGGTTGCGGATGGCAGGTCCACAATTTAAAGGAGTAGAAGTCAGAGTTACCAAACCTGCATACTAGTTTTAAAGTTCATGTATTAAGATCCATATTATGCATAGGTACACAGTATAAGAAGTTATAGTATTATAATGTTAATACTTGTATAGCGGTAATGAGAATACCACACGCGATGGATGTGCTTATTTCATTGTAGTAATGAACTTTTCTTTTTCCATTCGGTAGAAGTCCGTATGCTTGTTTAAACACAAGTATCAAATAAGGAGCAATAGTCAAGTACTCTTTAATCCAATCAGTTCTAAGCGGAAGCAGATCTGTCGTCCATTTCACTCCCATTCTTTGTTTGTAATTTATTTCTTCCTCTTTTTCAATAATACACCGTATTTGCTCTTTCATCTTTTGATTTGATACCACTACGAATGTCCATGGTTCTGTGTGTGCACCACTAGGCGCAGTGCCTAAAATAGATACAGATGTATAAAGAGTTTTGTGAATGTAATTACATAATATTGTACCTGCAGCTTTTATTATGTCATGTATGACTTCTTTTGGTACAGGGTCTGGACTGAAAAATCTTATAGTTCTTCTAGCTGCTACAGTTTTATAAAACTCAGAAGCTCTATGAAGTATCTCTACTTCTGAGGGTTTCGCATATACACATGGAATATGTTTTAAGTCTTTTGGTAGTGCAGGTTCCTCGCTATCTTCTAATGTTTCTTCGCCAATGTCTAAAAGATATTATTTTAAAAGAATTTCTTTAATTAGGTTAACATACCTTCTGAATAAATAATTATTGGGATTATCTACTACTATATACGATAAAATGAAATGGATTTGACATAATATTGAATTGATTTTGTATTCTAAATCACGTATAGCTTTCAGTAATTCCAGCTTTACAAATTCAAGACTGGTGGCAATAACGTTGGGTGTTACCTTCTATCTGCTCCATAGTATTATCCACTAATTTTGTACTATATTTATCATTTTTTATAAATGTGGCACTCTTCTTCGAGATATCGTAGAATACTTTTAAAAAACTACAAGAGACAACACCGATCAATACATAATACCAGTATTTCGTCCAAAATGGTAAAAGTTCGGAGAACATTTTAAAAGAAATGTTGAGTTTCGTATTTCTACTCAATTGTTTCAATTACATGATACGAATGATTATCAGTATAAACCAAGCCGTAGTAAAAGTGGTGGGAAGCATTTGACCTAAAATGTCTGAGTCTCCCCCATTGGAATTCACACAAAAGAAACTAATCACTCACGAGAATACAATGAATCTCATCACTTGTGCTAAGACATTTATTAGTTTATTCCTGCCGATCATTTACGATACAACGAAATACTTACGTACTTGGGTCTTTAAATATTATATCTAGCAAGTTTCTAATTTTTTAAGCGCGAATAAGAAGAAAATACATAATTATAATTCTTATCATACGGACCTTATTCCGTTCACACAGAAGAGAATACGATCTATCGAGAACGTTTAAGTACATCTTAAGCAGTATGGTAATGATTTAATTATTCAGCGACAGAGAACTCAGGCTATTAAGAATTACTATAAATCTATTGACGCTGGCTTAGACAATGACTTTTATCAACACCTTACTATTGTTACAAACTTGTTATTACAAATAAAGTCACTGTTTACTTTTAATGAATTTTATTTATTTCGAACAACATCGTGATCCACTCTTCGCCTTAAATTGCGATCAACATTTTGGGGCGAAGATATTCAACATGTATTCCTCTGAAAGGATCGCATTTAATAATAAAAGATGATTAAGATTTTTCGTTATAGCAACGAAACAAAATCATCTCGTTGTTGCGCAGAATCGGGTAAATCTTATTTCGAATGACGAATAACATTTCAGGATTTATATACAATATTAATATCATAACAAATCTGTGACATTATTCGACGGCTCATTCGAATAAGATTTTATTCATTATTTGCAATTTGAATGCTAATCGGTGCTGCCGCCTTGTATCTACGAATCGAAGACAGGATTACGAGGTAAGGAAAGTGCTTCTCGAGATATGTACATACATAGCCACTCGGGTATTAATAATAAAACTGTTTGTATTCCATTATTTGATTTCTTACATTTATTCGAACAAATTTTTCGTTCAACTTTTGCTCGAGTTAAAAATTATTCAAAGTCTATCCCAATAAGAATTTATTCGAATAAATTTCGATTCAAACAACGCCCAGCCATAGACGGTTTACATATGCACTGCCTATGCTGTGTTGCAACAGTCGGTATAATCGCTCGACCCGTCTGACGCATCAGCCAAAGGCAGTCGGTGTGTCGTACGTTGCGCGGTGCGGTTGCGCGGTGTCAAAACGTGCGTGTTTCTTCGTTGTCCGTCAACACGGACGGAACGAAATTCGTGGTAATCATGTGAAAACGCGATGTCAACGTAAACCACTCGGATCAATTGTCAGTTCCCGTGACGTTCAGACGAACCTGTGTCTTGACGTGCATGACAATACACGATTTCTTCCGTCGATCGTGCGTCAACGAGATCTTGTCGCTCGTGTCCATCGTACGGCCGAGCGTAGCGTATCACCACGGAACGTAGGGTTCATCGAGCCGTGTGTTTCGCGAGATGTGTTGCTCTTAAAAAAGATCGAATTACATCGCGAGTGACATCCAAGTTCTTACGAATAAAACGGGGGAATGGAGAACGCCATGCAGCCGCCACTTCCACCGCCACCCCCACCCTCTGAAATCCTTGGGAATACCAGTACGGAACAGACGGTCACCCATGTCTTGACATTTGGTATGTTGCATTATATGTTCCACACACGTTTCAACGCGATTCGTACCAGAGATAATTGTTTATCTTTCATTTCGATAACACGGAATCGATTTCCGTTATGATTGATAAAATATTTTTTTGTTTTGCAATAACGCTACGTAGTTAGATCATTTGATAGCTTTTGACAAATGGACCACGCGATTTCGATGAAAGTTTGTAGATAGGTACCTAGTCTACAATCAACAAAATGTTACATTTTCTATCAGACAAGGGAAATTTTACAAGAAAAAAAAATTTTTTCCTCGATGGGAGTAGAAGTCCAGCCACTATTTAGGTAACGAAAATACAGTTGTTTTTACGACGTCACCACTTATTTCTTAAGCTTGGCAAGTTATTATTAGTGGACAGTAAACTACTGAGAATACACGACTTAAAATCTACTTGGCTTCTACCTGTCTACAAGATTTTATCACACCGGTGCGTGACACATCGTGCGGTTCATTTGCGAGAGTTTTCTGCACCCACGCGAAAGTTCATTTTTTTTTATTGTTTCTTATTTCTTACAGTTTTTTATTTCCGACTTAGTAGATTATTCTTATTGTAAGTACATAGCATCTGTTGTCTAGTATTTTACAAGCTTGCCTAACTGTAGTATGTTATTCTTTTAACCACAAATATGTCCTGTCTGATTTTAAGGCAGAACGAAGTTTCTACCATTATAAGATTTGACTGTTTAATTTACTCATTTTTTTTATAAATTAAGGTAATTGTTATAGATATTAGTACCCATTGAGATAACAGTACATTTATCTCTAGAGAAATTCTTGTATTAGAATTATGATTGAAGATTATGCAATACAATGATATGCGTATCAGGTTATTTTGAAAACATTTCCACACGTTATGGCTGACTTAACGTTGACACAAAATACTTCATGTGTTTGTCTCTGTCTTTTGTTCTATTTTGTACTCCTTCTTTAAGTAAAGAGATTGTAGCATAAGGTGTCAATAGCATTTGAAGATGCTAAAAGTATAACATTTGTTCAAAGTATTTTGACAATTGTACAGTAGTATAGAGTCTCCTTATTTTCTTTTTTTAGATTAAACAAGGAATTTATACCCAAGCTTTCCAAAGAACAGAAACAACATGTATGCATGAACTTCTAAATTTAGTGGCTCACGAGCAGAAGGTGGCCTTTTAAGCGAATAACCATGTGGTTGTGGTAGTGAATTGTTTATACCTTGTGTTAACTGCTATAGGACATTTTAAAATAAATCAGTTGACCTTTATAATTAGATCTGTGTAATGCACTTTACACATTGGTCACATTTTGTGAACCATGTAGTCATTCTTTAGTACTTTATACCAAAGCATAGTGTTATTGATGACTTGAAAGCAGTTACATTGAATTTTTCATTTTCCTGTTGACCAAATTATATTACAAATATTGATTTTCGTGTCTGTGTATCAACTGATTTCGAAAATTTACACTCTCGACATAACATAGTAAAAAGTTAACATAATGTTTCTGGTTAGTACTGAATTCTCGTAACGTCGGACTGAATAGAAAAAGGAAACAGGAAGTAAGTTTCGACAAAGTCAACGGAAACACGAAAAGTGGTCACAAAGATACTCCGAATATCGCCTCCAGTACGCTCCTAAAAGAAGTATATCAGGATAATTGCGTAATAGTTATGAAGTATTTACGACAGTTCAAGGAAATGGTATTTGCAACCGTCTTAATAGATTTTCAGTCGAAAAACAGCTATCGCTGTTCAAATTGGAGTTACATCGTAAGAGGTCGATTTTAATTTAATTAACATGCTATCCAATTTACGAGATTTTCTGTAACAACAACGATAACGTGCAAGCAATTGTACCTACATATTAAATAGGAATAGTATTTACATTATCATTTAAAATACATATATCGAGCTTCGTATGATCCGACCGCAGGGCAAGAATCATTGCCGCATGCTGTACGTATGCGCACAATTAAATATGTATCAACGAAGTGCGGTCTCATCGATCGAATCGACATTCCATTTATCGACGATCGATATTTATCTTCCGTTGCAATTCAAGTACGGAAATTGTCCACCAACTGGGGTATTCACTATACATACTATCCCGCATTATAGCCACGATCTATAAGTTTCTTTGTCCATGAATATTTATAGTAATCACTGGGTTGTTATAACACACGGATGACATGGGCCCTATCGATGTATTTCAATGACATTTCATTTACCCACCCATTTAGACACTTGGAGATATTTGCACTTTGGGTATTTGGCATTACATCATGGAGCCTTTTAGTTACTTTATTAACATAGTTCTTTCAAGAAGACAAATTCGTTTGAAGACGATATTCATAATCCAATATACAATTAGAATATATAGATTTTATACTCCAATTTATATGTAGAAATACAAATTTTGAATTTTTCTTGGCCTTCGCTGTACGTAAATATAAATCCTAAAACGAGGCTCATGTTCCTCGAAGGCACATGCCTTCACTGTAGTATTTCGAACTCTCTTCAATGTTGCCCAACAGCGATACTCTCCTTATCCTCGTAACGCAAACCAACATTATCTAGCTAGCCACTTAAGTAACAACACATGGTAGGGGAACAGGTTTCATGGATGTACGGATTCGACTCCAAACACGTCGCAGCAAGACTAACTTTCTGTGCGTTATCATAACACGATCAAAATTGTTTGTAAAATGGTAGTAACGCAAAGTACGATCATAAGTGGAACGATGTAATTATTATATAATAAATTTATTAGATTCTTCATAGCTATTTTTATTCATTTAAGGATACCTCAAGACACACCGAAATACGATATTCCCCCCTTATAGCTTTGTCGATCCCCTTATAATGACATCGCTTTACCCACCATATCTTCGTGGGGCTTTCATTCCCTGTCACTCAATCATTTAGAGATTACGGACCTTACGCATGTATATATACTGTACACGATTGTTCAAAACTTATCGTGTTCGACACACTTGATATACGTCATAAACATTGGGAAGATCCCAGTTGAGTCCGGAGCCAAAGCAAATTAACCGGAAAAAGCGCCGTAGATTATATAAAGAACACTGTATTTCGTTTATTTCTATTCTGTCAACCAGTGTCTGCTGATGTTCCACACGATTCTCCTCAGAATCTGAGAAATAAGATCAGCCGGTATTACGCAACGACCCGGGCGAGCGGTTCGGTTGAGCCGTCACTGGGCGGGTCTCTCAGTGTTTTCCAAATCAGCTGTTAGCCGCCGGTGAAGGGTGACTCGGTCGGTTTCGTAGTGGGGGGGGCGATCGTCAGTCGACTCCGAGACTCGGGCCGGTGTGCATCGTGTTTCGTTATCGCGGGCCCCGTCTCACCGTGTCTCTATCTATTCTACACACACACACACAGTGTGTGCGTGTGTGTGTGTATTTATACATATATATAATACAGTATATCGTGTGCACATATGTTTTACGTCTCGTTACGTGCACGTCGAAGAACACACATCGTTCTATCTTCCCGTGGACGTGTGTAACGTGCTCTCCCGAGTGAAAGTGGAACGGGAGCCATCATCGTGAAACGACTTTTCGACGACAACGACGG